GAAGAAAGAAGACTAGAACAAAGGCACCAGAAACAAGAACTGAAAGAGAGAGGAGGTCAGAAAAAACACAGAATCAGAATTAAAGAGATCCAAATTGGAGAGCCCATAAGGAAATACATGTCTGACAGAGATGTTCCTCCTGAACGAAATAATTACAGCAGAGTCCTGAATGACAGAGACCAAGAATGCACATAGATTTGGAAAATAAGCATGGTGATCCTAAAAAGAAGAGAGGAGAGAGAGACATTCTTTTTCTGAGAATGAGAGGCATAGACACCGAAATAAGGACAGTGAAAATTTTAGAAGAAAAGATAGATCAAAGTCAAAGGAAAAAAATAGAAAACATTCAGGCTCTAGAAGCAATGAGGATAGGTATCAGAATGGTGCCGAGAGGCAATGGAAAAATCTAGCAGATACTCTGAACAATCCAGAGAATCAAGGAAAAATCAGGACCGGCGAAGGAAAAGTCCCAACAAAGCAAAAATATCTACAAAGCGACATAAACTGGACATGCCTTATATTAAGTTGAAACAGATTATTTTTTACATTGATTGGTGAACTTTATAGAGAATTCTTGTATAAAGTACTGGTTTGTATTGTGTTTCCTATCATTTTTGTGTTGGCTCCTGATCAATTTATCTACTTCTTTACTTCTGGTCTTCCTTTGTCCCTTCTTTCTTGTTTCTTTAGCTGTGTTTGTAAAATGAAACACAGTTAGTTTTGGTTTTTGTTTTAATTTCATAATTTAACTATCACGATTAATGATACATTGTAGGTTTACTACTTCAGATAAACTGGATGCAAAGCCAACTTGACTGACTGGAAAGTATGATGGAACATTTTACAAAATGCATAATTTTTAAGAATGTACCATATCTCAACATTAGTTCCCAAAGTACTGTTTTGATCCTTAGACTCAAGACAGTAAGCAGAAGCTTTAAATAAACTATAGAAAATGCTATAAAAAACTTGTATGAAGTAACCAGAGTGCTACATTTCCACTTACAAATTTTACCTAAAAATGAAAATTCCAGCCCATGTGTATATCATATGAAATATTATGTCGGGTCTGGTACATAATCAAAATACAACGATCACACACACCAGCACCATCACTTCCTAAACATGAGAGAAGTAGAACTGACTTGACAGCACAAACATATATATCTCAGACGAAAAACTCTTCCTACAAAAAAACAATAGTTCTGTTCTCTGATGTGATCATAGAGGCACTGACTGCACTAGTAAGAGAAGATATGCTAAGATACGGTCACAGGCTTTATGAGAGCCACAAAGGCTTGGTTTCTGAAAACATTCTTCTAAAAACGCCTTCAATAATTTAATTTTACTGATATAATCACAAATGTAAATATAAAATAATTATATTGAAAAAAGCTATAAAATGAATTTAATCACTTTATCTGTGTTTTTTAATTTGAATACATAAATAAAGGTGCTGAAACAACCAAAATTTCTGTCAAATTCACATGTTTACAGAATGAAGAAAATATGGTAGAAAACTGCCTCTTCTTACCCTAACTCTACCCATACCTCACTGTGCCAACCTCTCATTTCTTCTGCTAAATGTCTACCCTTGGCACACAGTATAGTCAGTTGGTCTGCCACTAAGGACCTATTTCTCTGGTTTCTATCAAACAGCTCAGCTGAGCTGCAGCTACCCAAGCAGAAACCATCTGGCTCTGTGCTAAACCAACATCTCTCTGACCCTACTCGATATCACTCTCAGGGCTTTACTGACATTAAAACCCAGCCATTAAACAACATGCGATCTCCTCTCCCTTTGCTATGTTTGCTTTACAATCTCCTAATTTGGGGGCAGTTGATACTGCTTTTATGCTATTTAATATTTTATTAATGAAACAAAGTTCTCAACTGAAATTGTATGATAAGCCAAATTAATTTTGAATCAGCAAGTTTCCTTATTGCAGCTATTCATGCTGTGTTATCATCTGTTCTCAAAATGGGTATCATGAAATAACAAATTCTGTAGAATTTAAAAAGGCAAATGTTAAATGAACAATGTTTATATATTTCAATTCAAGAATAAAAGTTCTTGTAAGCAAATGGAATCTTACTCTGATAATACAAAACACAAAGAGGCCCACAATTCTGGATGCCACATAGTATATAAAAAAAATCTTTGAAATGTTAGTAACAAGCTAGGGGATAAAAGTATAAAGATCAGCCTTCTAACTTAAGGCTACAGAGAAAGTCCTACCTTCAGTGAAATACGGCATTAAAAAAAAACCCCAAAAAACAACAAGAATGACATGAATTTTGGACAAGCAGACAATCCTTGTTTGGGCCAAGATACTATGATGGAAGAAAGCAGAGTTGACCTTGTGTAAAACAATACAGACCTTTTCAGAAAATGTGAACCAGAGTCAAACTTTGAAAAAATCTTTTACTGCAGAATTTCCACTTCTAAGTAGGATAGAAAAGACAGTAAAAAACCTGTGCTCCTGCTGAAAACAACTCGAAATGCCAGATAAAATTTTTAAATCTTCCGCTGAAAGGCACTAAAGATCTGGAACAACTTGTGATGCTATAATGGAAGGAAGTGCTCAAAAAAACCATGGGGATAGGTCAAAAGTACACAGAAGTCAAGCTGAAGGAACTCCTAATTGCTAAAGCTGAAATGATTTGAACAAAACAAATGATTGTATTGAACTTTAACCCACAGAACAAGATAAATAACTGTGAGTCCATAGTGACAGAAATATATAGTTGAATAAATAAATAACCGAGGAAAGAAGGACAACTCTTTCTTATGGAAGATAGGCAATTACTAGATGTAAAGAAAATGGAAAAATAAAAAAATCACCATTAGAAAAACACCACAGCAATAAGTGTTGCAGACAAGATCCAAAGACTGATATTAAAATTAGTAAGTAAAAGACAGAAGAGAAAGATTTGCACAGTATCAAATTATCTCCCTACAAGATACTAATTTTACAGAGAAAAGCAGTTTCCATAAAGAGATCCAGCAGACACCATCTTACTCAAGTGACCAAGGTTATGGTCACCAAAAATAAAATGTATCAATATTATAAACCCCTTGATGAGATGCACCAAGGACAGTGTTCTTGCCCAAAATGCCTACCCTCATTCTAATCATGAAAAACATAAAACCTCCACATTGAGGGAAAGCTATAAAAATAAGTGACCAGAAGACTTCAGAAGTGACTAGGCCAATAAGAACAAGGAAAGCCTAGAGGAACTATCACAGACTGCAGAAGACTGTATATAATTAAATGTAAGAATCCTGAAATAAGGAAAAGGACATTAGGGGAAATACTGGCGAAATTCAAATAAGATCTGTAGCCTAGTTAAAAATAATGATCCCCAATGTTAATTTCCATCATTGAACTATGGTTATGTAAGATGCTAACATTAGGGGATGTTGGATGAGGTGTATATGGAAATTCTCTGTGCTGTCTTTGCAACTTTCCTATAAAATTCATCCAAAATAAAAAGTTAAAAAGTAAAAGTCATCGGAGAGCTAGTGAAAAAATGAGGACTAGAAGAGCCAAAATTGATGAGAAGGCAGAAGCATAGAGAAGTAAACTGACATTTATAGCCACTTTCTCCCTGGCAGCATCTGCTGATTCAGGGCTGCTGCTGAGGGGCAGGAAGAAAGCAGAGCTCTGGAACCCTTGCAGGGCTAGAGAGACAAGAACGGGGCTGGTTATTTGCAATATATGTATGTACAAGAGATACATATCCAAAATACAAAAGGAACTCCTACAAATCAAAAGAAAAGATGACTTAATAGAAAAAGTTGATAAAAACTTGAGAAGTCACTTAACAACAACAAAATATTCAAATGGCCAATAAGATATAAAATGGTGCTCAACTTCAACAGTGATCAGGAAATGCAAATTAACACTAAAACCACAATGTAATACCATTACACATCCAACACAATGGCTAAAATGAAAAAGACAGTCAATGTGAAGGGCTAGTGAGGTTGGGAGCTACTGGAACTCTCATACGTGGCTGGTGGAATACATACTGGAATAACCAGTTGTAAAACTGGCAGTATTACTAAAGCTAAATACATGCACACCCTACAACATAGTGATTCCACCCTAAGAATATATATACCCAATAAAAATGTGTACATATGAATAAAATCTATAAATACACACACACACATATGTGTATATAGCTATCGAAAGATAGGTACAAGAGTACACACGGAAACCCTATTTGTAAATCTAAATGTCCATAGAGTGAAAAGTGTAAATATACTGTGGTATATTCATATATTGGAAAACTATACAGCATTGGGAATGGATGAATCTCACAAACATAATATTGAAAAAAATAAGCCAGACATACAGGAGTCCATAATATATAATTCTAAAGCTAAAAACAGGCAAAACTAACCTATGGAATTACAAATCAGAATAGTAGCCACCATAAGGACAGAAGGGTAGTAACTGGGAGAGGGAACACAGAGACTTCTGGTGTACTGGTAATTCTTGATGTGGGTGCTAGTTATATGGATGTGTTCTCTTTATGAAAATTCATACAGCATCTCAGCATTATAAATGTAAGACACGACAGACTGCAACAGTGATAGATGATTATTTATATTATTAATTGTGGCTTTTAAACAACTGAACTCTAAAATAAATAAGCAATCAAATCATTTTCTTCTCTCATTATAAATATCACCAAACATGTACTTGTTGGAAAAGAGCAAGATAAATTATGAAGGAGCTTCACTACCTGGGGCAGAGCTGTGACTGCTAGCAGATGAAGATCCGCTCTCTTCACTGGACGACTCTGAACTGCTGTTGCTGCTGTCAGCATCAGAGTCAGAGGAGTCAGACTCTGAAGAGGAGGATGCTGAAGAGGAAGATGGGGAGGATTTATTTTGCTCAACATCTGGTTTCTGTGCACGATGACCTTGTGTGTTTTTGAGATGCTCACGCAATTCTCCCTAATTGAAAATATAAATCTGTTAGATTCTGCTTCAAAGGCAATTGTGAGATAATCTGTAATTTAAATAAATTCTAAATAATTCTTACCGTTAAACCTCAAGACTATAGAAGTAAAGAGTTTGATGGCAAACCGAGTGTTCTTGGGAATTATCTCGGGTAATATCCCTTCAAAGAATGGCTGTAGGGGTTCTAAAAAGGAAGAAAATGACAAAAAGAGAATGGATTGCTTAAGGAAATAAGTGCAAAATCTTAACACAGTTTTAGTCCTTGGCCCCGCTGTGGCTCCAATTCATTAAAAATAGTAAATGAAATATGAACAAGTGGGTTTATTCCATTTATTTAGGTTAGCGGCTACAATGCTTTCTAAATGAAAATGGACAGGGTCAGATAATATTTACTAAGTTTGAACCTTACCAATATGCAACAGAGGAGGTTTTTAAACAATTTTGTAGATTATGCAACCTAACACAAGCTAAGGGCGAAGACGCCATGAATGCACAGACACATATGCATACACATGTGAATATGTGGTATATGTATGTATACATTATGTATTAATATTATATATTTGTGTTTGTCAAAATTTTAAAAGCTTCCTCTGCTGTGGTACGTATATTATACACACACAATGCACTCATATACAGCATATGAAAGGACTAGGGGGAAGGGGAGTTGTCAAACAAAAAGGAAGATATAAGGTTGAAGAACATATAATTACAAAATCTACAAAGTAAAGGATGAACAGCAAAGACAGTGAAATAAAGTGTAGTCTTTGGACAAGTTGGGTTTTGAGTGCCATTACCGAAATTACTACCTCAGGTCGGAATCAGGGGAAAACTGTCTTGTAAAAAAAGAAATTATTAAGAAATGACAAATTATTGAAAGATACAACTGTTTAAGAGTTTGCTAGATGGAATCAAGGAGAAGAGGGGGACTGCCAGCAGTGGAAAACCAGGGTAAGGAAGCATGAATGAGCCAGACGTGCTTAACAAGCTGGAATTTGGTTTTGGCACAGTGCAACTTGCTGAAGGCAACCACGGTGAGCCTGGTTCAGGTAGCAGAGGCAAATACATGAAGCCAAGAGAAGTGGAGGAGTAGTGCAGAGGAGTTTGTGCGAAGTCAGGATAGACCTTTGGTGACTTACTCTGAGAGGCAGGCTTGAGGAGAGACAGAGACTGAGGAAAGGATGGAGGGAAAACTGAGAGGCACAGAGGTCAGTGAACCAAACTGTATGAGTCATGGGTAGGTGGTGAAGGGGGCTGAAGACTAGGGAAGGACTACTAGATTTGGCAACGTGGTAACGGAGAATCTGCAAGGATGGATTTCAGTAGTTGAACGGATTGTGAGAATTCAATCTTAAACTCAACGGCTCTGAATAAACACGGAATAAGGAAGTTGAAGAGAGAATTACAT